AATATTTATGTATGTACATACGACACTGCCAAACAAATATTTGTGGACTTAAAAAGCAATTAACAAATATTACGATTGCATACCCACTATGAGGGAAATAGTTAGTGCTTCGAAATATGAAGATAAGTTGTAAATTTGTATAGATAAGTATGTCAAAACGGCGGTAAACAACCGATAAACTCATTGATAAAATTGCAGATTTATTTTTGTTATTAACAGATAAAATATTACGAACGATAAGCTTTTGAGTGCAATAGCACACTGTATGATCGTGTAGATAAAAATGAAAAAACTAATAAACGAATAATGTTGATACAAAAAATAACTGATTAAATAAAAAGCAAATAATCAAATGCGATAAAATCATTAGAAGCCTTTGAAAGTGTGGTAAGTCTGTGTAAGGAATGCAGTTGGTATTTGAAAATATTTGAAAATAATCTCAATGGCCAGGTTGTCTATGATACGTAAGCAATTATCGATTTATATTTACTTAAATAAGTATACTGTCGAAACGTATTGATTTGCCTCAGCGCGCAGACAAATTGTAGATTTTTACATTATTCTGCAATAGTACTCCTCGCTCCTCTATAAGTTATTTCCCAGTTTAGCACAATATCCTTTTTATCATATTTTTTTTTTAACTACATACTCACCAAACGAACCGTGGCGGTTTTGGTTTAACAAGTAAACTTATTGATTAAGTTCTTGTTGCCAACAAATTGAACTAAGCACAAATAATATATTCCATGTCACAGCCACAACCTTGGCCTATAGTAAACCTACACTCATTTCGTATATACATACGATTTTTTAGTCACAAATGAAAAAGGAAATCGTTAACATCAATAAAAAGCACAGTGGCAAACCGAAAAAGGTGGACTTGGCGGTCGAGGCTCGCGTAGTGTATGCTTAATTCAAAATGGGCATAAAAACCGCCAATCGACTTACAGGCAAATGCGTTGTAGCCACAAATGTGAGCAATTAAGCGTACACGCACGTGATGCCATTGAATGGTCTTCCTAGTGTGTTTAACAGGCTAACGAGTAGTGTAGGGTAACCACATAGGCATTTATGAAGTTGCTTACCAAACAAAGGAAATTAACAAAGTTTAAAAATAAAAGTTAAACATGAAAAAAGTTGAGTAAAGGTTTTATGGTAATGGTAATTATAAGAGTAATTATTAGTGTAGCTGTAATGGTAATGGTAATTGTATTGGTAATGGCAAAGGTAAAGGTAATGCTAATGGTAATAGTGAAGGTAATGGTATTGGTAATGGTAATAGTGAAGGTAATGGTACTGGTAATGGTATTGGTAAAAGTAATGGCAATGGTAAAGGTAGCTATAATGGCAGTGGTAATAACTGTAATGGTAATGGCAATATCAATGCTAATGGTATTGTTAAAGGTAATAACGGTAATGGTAATGGCAATATCTTCCCAAGCCAATGTAAGAAGGCGAGGCTGGTGCTTATACCCAAAGGTTTAAAAAATACCTAGGGGTGAAGCTTGACAACAAACTCAAGCTTTGGGAACACATTCATGGAGTATGTGAAAAAACTGCGCTGAGCACGGTGGCGCTAAGCCGGCTGATGGCGAACGTGGGTGGCCCGAAGCCATGCCGTAGGAAACTGTTGAAGACAGCAGTCCAGTCGATGCTGCTGTATGGGGCAGAAATATGGGTCGACGCATTGAAAGTAAAAAAAATACCGGATTCAAATGCCCTCGGTCCAGCGCCGAGGGGCACTACGCATTGCTTCTGCATACCGCACGTTCTAGTTATTTCTGGCGTCATACCAATTGAGATACTTGCTTACGAGCGAAAAGAGATTTATAATCTCAGTGCGGAGATAGGCCGATCAGCTTTCGTGGCAAGGGCACGCAAACAACTAATCCAACTGTGGCAACAAAACTGGAACGCAAGCACAAAAGGTCGATGGACGTACACCCTGATAGCCAACCTTCAAAAAATGGTTGAAAATACCGCACGGTTCAAGGTTACTTCCGATAATAGCTTCATGGAATGAGTTGGGTAGACTCACCGTTCGGTAATCCGCTGCCATCGAGAAGACGAATGTCCACTGAGGACACCCGAATGAAACGCCCCTACAAAGAAGCAGCCTTGAGGCTCTAGTAGCGCGCTCCTGCATCTGAAGACATACAAAATTGCGATATTGTGATGGTAGTAGTAAATTTTGTAGTAAAATAAATGGTGATGGTAATGATAATGGTAATAGACCAACGGGTCAAAATTGGATGGTAGGATTGAAAAATATCTGTTCTGTCAGAATGCATATGTAAACTATGAAGATGTTTTCGTGCCTGGTTCCAACAAAAAAAAAAATGTACGTGTATACCTCCGTTTAGCGAATTTCCACTCTCGTGGAGTGTATTAACTGGCTGCTTACTTTTGAAAGGTCACAATTTATTCTGAGAGCCAATCGTCTATCATGGTTATGGGTTGCATTAGTTGAGGCGAGCCGATCGTTCCAAGTGTTCTTTTGGTGGTGAAAGAGGTTTTTTTTGTGACCAATTGTCCGGAATTGTTTTACCAATATTAAAGTTGTTTTAACCATGGCTCGCGTCTTATAAAAAAACTCCTACAGAAGTCACTGCAGGGCTGACTGTGAAGCGTCGTCCACAGCATGCGGCGTGTTCTTTACGATTTGCTTACCCTTCCCTAGTTTTTATTTAGCATTTCAAATGCTCTTGAGTGGTATCTCAACAAACGTTTTTTTTTTGGCTGGCAAAGCCGCATGCGATCTGGCCTAACCTAACCTCTGTTCAACACTTACTGATCTGGAATTTGAAAAAACCCTTGCAGCTTAATTAAACGTTGATAATTGTCTTCCGAAAAGATTTGTGCGTTTGCCTTTATCTCAAAACCTGGCAATCAAGCACTCCCCGATGGCGGCATTCAACTATTGCGTGCCAATCGGCTTTGCATTTACCCCTCAGACTGGCTCAGCTGCTTTTCGCTTAACGCTAATCCAGCGAACCACACTGCGGTTTTTCGGGATATCAATAAACGACAGTTTACGATGAAGCTGTGGCAGTGGTCGCGGCAGCAGCACATAATTTAAATTAATCCTTAATTACGTAGACAACATCCTGCTGCTACTTGCCGCCCGTTGGCTGATGTTGGCTTAACGAACTTATCAAAATCAGTGAAGGATGAGAAGCGGCAAGCTGGAAAGGAAGGCCGAGCATAGAGGAAAATATGTAAGCTAGGGTGGTTCAAAAAAAAAGTAAAGTCGCAATTTTAACGCCACCATCCCCTATTTTCTATATCGAAAAAAATATACCGCTATTTTTATTTTATTTTTTTGAAATCTTAAAATATTTGGAGAGTGCTCAAAGCGCGCAAAGTTTTCCATGTATTTTACATAGGGAAAAAACAACTTTTCGTGGAAACAGTATAGAAATCTTGAAAATCAATATTTTTCGATCGGAAAACTCTTCAGGCGACTTCCAATAATAATATCCAATTGCTTATTTAACCCTTTTTTCATGGAAACTATATTTTATAGGCCCGTCAAAACTAATAAACAATTTTTAGTATAAAAAAATTATTAAAGAGACAATTGGATTTTATAATTGGAAGTCGCCTGAAGAGAAACAGGTCTTTTTGGTCGAAAAATATTGATTTTCAAGAATTCTATACCATTTCCACGAAAAGTTGTTTTTTCCCCCTTATAAGATACATGGCAAACTTTAAGCGCTTTAAGCACTCACCAAATATTTTTGGATTTCAAAAATAAAAAAACATAGGGGCATAATTTTTTCGATATAGAAGAATGCTAGGGGGTGGTGGCACTAAAATTCCGACTTTACTTTTTTTTTTGACCACCCTAATATACGCGTACATATACCTATAAATGAGCTGTACTCCTATGCGTTGCGTAAACCGCCTTAACCGCATTTAGTTAAGCCATGCCACTTGAAATTGAAACATCGGGGCTTTGCGTAGCTGTTGCCGTTGTTGTTGTTCTTCTTCCTCTTGCTGCTGTCGCATGCGTTCTACGCTTGAGCGCACCAAATGCCAAACACTGTGTGGTGCCGTCATTTAAACTCAATTAATTTATAGATTTACATACATTCATGTACTATATATTACATTACTTTCTGCTGACAAGAGAAGCGAGCGCGCAACTATATACAACTACAACTATTGCTGGCGCTTTTGGCGTTATGCGCGTTGCACGTTGCGCGTATTAAAATGTCAGAACAATGTGCTGCATGCCACAATTTTTACGATGACGACAACGACCGTGCTGCACTCAATAACAACCGTTGACTTTAAGAGTTCGATAAAGATTTTTAAACCAACATAATTTTTGTTGTTATTGCTGCTGTGTTATAGAGTAGCTAGCTGTTCATTAATACTAACTATGGCTACCTCTTCTAGCGCCGATGCGATACTACTCCTTAGCATGGCCAAAGGTAGACTCCGCCACAGCTACCAAAGCAATCAACAATAAAAAATGAAATGGGCGGGTGCGGCCCGGCGGCGGCTAGCCATTTTGCAATTGCTACTGTGCGCATATTTCATAGCCATGGCTATGATGAAGGCGGCAGTGGCAGAGGCGGCTATGGCGGCGACGCCGGTTGCTTATCAACGGCCACCAATCAGCCGAACATTTGCATTTACTTTTGTATTTTTTTTTTGTTTGTGCATGCATGGCCCCTTCCATGAAGGAGATAATACAAATTTGCTCAAGCGGCAGACGACTACGGGGCTTTGTGGGTGAATTTTAATTAACGCACAGATTTTATTTCAACAACTTTGTCCGCCCATTTTGAGGTCGATGTTTTTTTTTTTATCTACGCATGTGTGTACATAAAAGATTTCAACCTTTCAAGCGCTTATTTTACATGTAAATATACCTGTATGTACTATGTACATACTTTCAGATACATTCATATATTAGCCATACATATTTTACTCCCCTTCGTTTAAGCTCGCTTTAAAAAATGCTTTTTTTTCTCTCACCCTCTTTTCAGACTGAAAACCGATAATAACGGCGGCGCTTGGTGCCCCAAACACATGGTCTCAAATGCGTTGAAGGAATATCTGCAGGTGGATCTGCTGCAAACGCACGTCATTACGGCGATACGTACGCAGGGTCGCTATGGCAAGGGTCAAGGTCAAGAATATACAGAAGCGTATGTGCTGGAGTATTGGCGACCGGGTTTCACCAAATGGCTACGTTGGAAAAATACACAGGGAAAAGAGGTGAGTGAATGCGTGCATGGAATGGAATCAGAAACGAAGTTTTTGAGTGATTTAATTTTAAAGTGGAAATGCTTAAGAGTGCTACGTACATACATATGTAAAGTGATATATTGGTGTTCACTTTGGGATGCTTAAAACGAACCTTGGAATGCGTCCGGGAACTCATTTTTGTTCAATTCCTCTTGTTTTCCTGATAAGAATGGTGTAAACTTAAAAATCCCATTGCCTTGTTTAGTTGTGTAGAAGCTCTGATTCCAGACAGAAACTTCGCCATGAAAATCTCAAGCAGGGGGCCCGGGTAGACAACTACTATCCTCCACCTGGTAATATAGTAATTTTTACAGATGTTTATAAAATGAACGACGGAGGGGGAGGGGTCTTCTCTCTCGCAACCCTACCCTGAGCCGTTAGTTTCTACTACCGGATCATCGTAGTATCTGCCAGGCTAAGGACTCAGCTATAATGGAGGGTAAATATACAGGTGTTTTTCATTAGTGAAAGCCAATCATAAATCAATGCTGTGAATATTGAAAATTTTTACCTCTACCCTCTTACAAAATGGCCTCGGCCTTATAAATATCTGGTCCAAGGAATTTGAACTCAGCGTCAATTCTACGAAGGCCGGATAATACTATTAACCAAGAAATAAAAATGTTATTTATTTTAAGTAGAATAATTAAGGTCAGTTTGGGTTTATTCTATACAGGAAACTCGACTGCAAGCGAAACATCGAAGACAGCTCCAAGAAAGCCAATACCGCGCTGTACGCCTGTAAGGTATAAGCAAAAAATGGGAGAAAAGCCATAGCTTGTATAAGACCCATACTCTACTACGGGGTCACTGCCTGGTTGCCGACGATAAACATGACCCTATCCAGAGCCAATATGAAACCAGTATCTACAGTGGACGGCTTCCATGCTTGTCCACTGCTAAAACCCTCAGTTTTCGCTTACCGGGCCACAGTAACGTTTTTCAATCCGAACTTGAGGGCATAATGCAGGCCGCTGGTTAAGTCATACCTTCCAACCCTCAAAAGCAGGCTATACTTATATATTCTGACAGCCACCAGAACAACGCCGAAAGTAGCCTTAGAATGCAGGGACATTCTTGGCAACTGTATGGCCGACAAGTTGACAAGGTAAAACACTGAAAGAGCAGTGCTGAATTCCACTCAAGACGCTGGTATACCGCTAACTTCCTACAAAGACAGATTAAAGACTAAACTCATAGAACCCACTTGCCAGACTATCAGATAAATTTGGCCGCATGTTGATGTAAAGCGATCGTACTCGGCTTAACCGTTGTTCCTTCATTTCCTGGCGTTTAGTTCTGCCTTTAGCTTTTTAATCAGGGTATTAACGAACAGTGTCTTAAGGGCTCGCATGGTAAGAGGTTAGTCTATACAAACAACAATTTTTTCGCAGCTGCAGCGGCGGGGAAGAAGTGAAAATCATCGAAAATTAGCTCGGCCACTATCCTATCCTGGCAAAGATGCGCAGCCAATAGTTTAGCAAGTACTTTTTAAGTTTTTAAGCCGACTTGAGCTCTGTGAAAATTCTAAATTTTTTGTGCTACATAAAGCTCGCTCAGTGATTAAATTTCCATGGAATGGAAGGAAATAAATGGCTGCCGCTTTAACCTAACTTCGAAGATTATTTTCTTGAGAATGTCATCTCTGTTGCGTTAGGATATTCCAATCATGGGCTGATTTCCTCCGCCAGCCTAGCAGGTGCCTAAGGACTCCACAACCAATTGTTAATACTTAGTAATTAAAAAAAAAAAAGAATTAAAAAAATATTTTAAAAACAACCTGAAATAATATTATGAATCTTTTTCCGTTTTTCAACAGATTCTGCCTGGCAACATCAACACGTACAGTGAAGTGGAAAACCTATTGCAACCAATAATATTTGCATCGAAAATACGCATATATCCATATGGACAATACGATCGGACGGTGTGTTTGCGCGCCGAAATTGTCGGTTGTCCGTGGGAAGGTGAGTAGCGACGGAAATAATCATTTAAGTTTTTATAGCTTTTTAAAATAAAAATTTACTTCAGCGTTCACTTCGATTTTTTGCCCCTAAAGAAAATACATCACTTAAAATTAAATAATTTCCTCCTTTATATTATTGTCCACCACTCTGCGACCAATGCGTCGTAATGGCGCCAATAATGCGAATTCGAGACATTAAACGCTATCAGCGGTGCCCCTTTCGTGTACTTAATAAAATTGTAATTTAAGTCGTTAAGGGGCAGTAAAAGCAAACAGTAAAGGCAGCGAAGTCAACAAAGGCAAAGGTTAGCTGATTGGATTGTGCCGCAATGGTAGCGAAATATACTTTTTGTTTGTGCATTAGGGTGGTCAAAAAAAAAAGTAATGACGGAATTTTAATGCTCTCACACTCTAGGATTGTTTTACGTCGGAAAAAATATACCCCTGTTTTTTTATATTGAAAACAAAAAAATATTTGGAGGTCGCTCAAAGCGCTCAAAGTTTCCCGCGTATTTTATATGGGGAAAACCACTTTTCTTCGAAGTGGTATGGAATTCTTGAAAATCAGTATTTTTCGATCGGAAAACTCTGGTTCTCTTCAGAAGACTTCCAAAATAATAATACCAAAGTGTTTATTTAACCATTTTTTAATACGAACGATTTTTTTATTGGTGCCCCCCTACTATGAAAAAAATGGTTAAATAAATAATCGAGTATTATTATAGGGAATCTCCTGTAGAGAAATTTTTCGATTGAAAAATATTGATATTTAAGAATTATATACCATTTCTACCGTGAGTCGTTTTTCTCCCATATAAAATACATGGACAACTTTGAGCGCTTTGAGCGACCTCTAAATATTTTTTATTTCGAAATAATAAAATAGAGGCATATTTTTTCGGTATAGAACACTCCTAGGGGGTGAGAGCATTAAAATTCCGACTTTACTTATTCCCATGCTTTTTTTTGGGCCACCCTAATGTACATACCTATGTACGTATATAAGTAGTTGGGGAATGGGCAGGCGGATGGCGTGGTGTGGCGTGATCTATGTAGACATTCGCAGACGTGCAACGCACTTGAAAATCGCGTGCAGACAGTGACTACTACCGCCGACGACGGCGACGCCCCAAACAAGAATGAATGTATTTATTTTTTTTTTTTGTTGCTTTCATATGTCAATTTTCCGATTTTCAACTTAGTTTTGTTGCTGTTGATAGCGACCTTTTTGCAGTTGAGCTGACTGTTGAAAGACGAATGTGAACTGACGGTGCCTTGCGAGATTGTTGCATGCAATTGTTGAGTAGCAGCTAAAAAAGTGCAACAAAAAAATAAAATTAAAATAAAAAAACAACGATGGCAGCAAATGCCAATAACAAGGCTGCCAAAGCAGAGAAGGGCAGCAATGCCACAAAAGATGGAGGGGCGACAGCACTGCTCTAAAGTATTTCCGAAGCGCAAGTGGAAGACAAACAAAGGCCAGCTGCGGGCACTTGCCAACGAAAATTGGGAAAATATGTACATACATGTAACTGTCACAAAGCACAAATTTGCCAATGTGTAACATACTTCAAGGCGCAGTAGCTTTTTTTGTGCATGATTTATGTATGTGTTTTGCTTTTTTGAAAAATCATTGCAATGTAATTATTATACAGCAAAAAGTGAGCAAAGTTGCCAGTCAAACATGGCGAAAAAGAAAACAAAAATGAACTTAAATGGTTGCGGCCACATGCAAGCTTCCTTTTCGTTGAACAAAAAAAAAAAAAAAAAATAAAAAAAAAAAACAAAATAAAAAATACTCAACGTTGTCTATCAAAGAGCTAAATACACTTTAGTGCCAAAGTAGGCGTAACTTGTTTCCGCAGTGATGACACAGAAAAAGGCATTTAGCATACGGCTAGAAATTTTATTACATCGACTGGGCTGATTTTTTTTTTATGGCAAAGGAGTGGAGTGCTTACACCTTTCAGACAACACCATACTCCCCCAGAAAATTATGCAACACTGCAAAGCATATGTCAGCACTGAACGCTAATACGCGTGAAAAGCAAAAATCGGAATCGCTGACGGTGTGCGGCATGTGGTGGCATTTATTATATACATTTTTTGGGTTTAAATTCTTCCGAGAAGGGGTTGTTGTTAGTGCAGCGTGCTGTATTTACCCTTTTAGGGATGCCTAAACTTCAGTTATGCATATGTGAGCATGTGTGCTGTTATGAAATTTTTATTTGGAGTGGGTCAACTTGAGCTGGGCCCGGAAATTATATTTGGGTGTGCAACATTTCATATGCAAATTAATAACGATAAAATGCTTTTCTATACTTTTTTAACGACATACATACATGCCTCGTATCTAGTTACGTAAGTATGTATGTTTGAATATATGAATGTACATATGTACGTATGCTGACGATTACACCGGATTCTACTAACAAATGAATGCAAATACAGGAAGTGACTGATTAGGGTTTAGCGCCGGTTAGACTAATTAAAAACAAGCTCTGGTTAAGAAAAAATCATTCCAGAAACTTTATTAAAAATTTAAAAAAATGTGCACTTAAGCGGATTACGCAATTAAGCATAACGTATGCATAAGCGTGTCCTAAACTGTAATAAGCAGGACATGGAAGAAAATAGCTAATGTTGCACTTAAGCGGGTTGCGCAATTAGGCAACACGTGCATTTATGCAGGTCGTGCACTTAAACCAACTAAACGTTTCAATAGTATATGCGGATAAATATACTATTTTTTAACTAAATTAAACTTAGCAATATATTCTCATTTAAAAATCGCTTAGGCGTTTGCAGAGCCAAAAAGAAGAATATATTCGCATTTAAGCAGATTGTGCAACTAAGGAAATGTTACTTAGGCGCGTAATGAACTTTTTCAAACCATACTTACATACAAAAAAGTAGATACTTGCGTGGTTTGAAAAAAACAATTGGTGAAAATTGTATAATTTTAATGTAATTTGCAGTTTGAAGTTAAAACCCCGTAAAAGTTTGCATTTAAACGGAATGTGCAGTTATTGAGTAGACTACTTAAAGTCTTACATAAATGAATATATTAGTAACGGAAAGATGAAATGAAGTGAAGTATTTCGTAAAAAGTGTACTCCTATATTTGAATGGGATGCCCATCATTTGAGAAAAATTTCCGAATGACGCAATTAAGCCGAAAAATAAAACAATAGAGACTTTAAAAGAAGTTGTTGAAAAATGTTCGTAGAAATTTTATTTTTAGACTGGATTTACCCTCAGAAGCCTTTATTTTCTTATGAAAAGGCCACAGACGCCCTAAAATTGGGTATACATAACTTAAACGGGTAAGGTGTTGGCCGCCCCTTAACAATTGGCACACTTATTCTACGAGTATTGGTTCGTTGTGATACCACTGAAAGAACAGAAAAAGAGAGAATCGCTGAGTGCCGCGGACGAAGTGTCGTGGCCGGCAGGTATCAGTCACGGAAAGCTCCTTTGGCCCAGTTGGAAAGCACGATCCAAGGTGTCTTAGCCGCATGCTAGCCGAAAGTGATCCTTAGGCCGCCCCCTGTTCAACCTCGGCCAGAGCAATCTTGCACTGGCATATGCGCTGGTTTTTGCGAGAACCACCTTTCCAAGAGGGGTCCACAAGTAGTCCAGGGAACTTTGTCTCTCTTCTCTTTTGGTGGTGTTATTGATTCGTGGGTACCACTTCTGGCCGGTTTCTTATGAAAACTGTTTGGGGGAACTTTTTGGCTGTGGCAACAACAACAACAAAACCAACGGCAACAACAAAAACAACAACAACAACAACAACAATAAAAATAACAACCACAACCACAGATACCCAAGGAAGAGTGCTTGACCTACTCAAATAGAACTAACAGATAAATAACGAGGGCCCAAAGCTAGCGACAATAAATTTCAGCTTAGTATTACATCCTGAGTTGAGTGCACATCACTTTTGATCAGACTACTTTGAAGTGTTAATCACTGACTAAGATATTTTGTGGTTTCTGTCCATACTCTGTAGAAAGAACTGAAAATGAAAAGTAAGTGCCTCAACATCCTTCTGGTTATATACAGTGGTCTTTACTAAGAAATGACATCTGTCACCTAATGGAATCTTATTTCTTTTTTTTATGTTTCTTAAAAGGAAAAAAAGCATTTAATTGAGTATCGCACTTAAGCATAACATTTTTAAAAATAACATTCTCAAACAAATAAAAAAGGCAGCTAAACGAATCTCATTTTAAAACTGCTTACTTACCAGCGCACCTATCAATGTGACTTGACGTACACGTAAACATTTACATACATACATATGTGTATATTTATGTATAATATTTGATATGATTTCATATTCGACAGACAAATGAGAATGAGTTAATACAACTAAGTACGAGCCCTAGAGATACATACATACATATATGTATAGTACATAGTATACGTTATGTAAAGCGTAAATATATTTCCTTCCCTTAAACTCTTTCCATTTTTTAATTATTAGCCTGCATTTGCTCCCTTTACCAAGTTCATTCAAATGCATACGTATGTAATAATCTCATTTGCCCCACCCTTGAATTCCTGTTACAAAAACAGAGCAGAATAAAAATTCCATTTAATCTTTTTTATTTACTCATCTAAGTCTCTGCGGTTTGTCTTATGAATTTTTCATTTACTTACTCAAAATTTTATTAGTTATACAATGCATATGCAGGAAAGTATACAGTAAAGGGTTGAAAATAAATGTACTTATGTGGAAATGTGTTCACATGAATATTTTAGTGTTCATTTGTCGTAGCACTTGGCCATAAAGTTAATTAAAAGCGACAAAAAGGTTTGAAAATTTAGTATTTACCGAAGTTTTCTACACATTTTCTGTAATAAATACAGTCGCTGAGGAGCAATAAAAAGCGTCTATATGACAGCATAGTGCCAGTTAGTTGTAATTGCATTCATTAATGAACTGAAGCTGAGTAAGTGCTACAAACAGGTGTGAATAGTGTTTTGCACAAA